CCGATTGTCAATTAAATTGGAAAAAACTCCTTTGTACTACCTTCGGGTGTGTAAAAAATAGGTGTGACAATTATATAATAAATATTGTTAACTATTATTATACTTATTATCTATTATATTATTTATATTTGAGAAAATAGATACCAATTATTTTTAAATACCCTACTACATTATTGTTGATTAATAAGCGTAAAAAATTTAATTTTAAAAAGGGAGGGTCAAAATTGATCATCAACAAATGTGTCCTCACCATCTGTGAGGGAATGGAAGAGCAAAGACTCAAACTTTAGAATAAATAAATCCGCACAATAGAGAATGATAGAAGAGAAGTTTTCCTAACTTCCATGTATCCTCTCGAAGATAGTTGTAGACACTTCGGTACCAACCCGCAAGACTCTACCAGACTTGCTTATGACTCGTAAGACCTAAGCAACCTAGTGCTCTAATACCAACTTGTCGCGACCTAAAACCCCCCACTTGAAATCCAAGCAATAATCATTTGCGAAAAATAATAACAAAGACAGAATAAAGGAGTTCAAATGTCAAATAAACATAAATATAACAAACAATTGCAACAATACCCCATAAACTGGTAACACAGAGTCATGACCTCTAAGATGTGAATACATATTTGAAATAAAATACACTATCTAAAATAATAATAGTAATAAAAATAGAAGGAGACGCCATGGACTGCAATCCAGAAGCAGTTCTACCTTGGTATCAAAAACTAAACAATAGTCCAGCACTCAACGCTCAGTTGGTCCGACTCCTGGATCTCCACGATTAATTGCAGAGTATAGTATGAGTACAACCTACCCATATACTCAGTAAGTATCATTACTAATCTTGGAGATAGTGGCAAGAATCACCAATGATACTATGTGTCGAATCCGTATAATTCATGAATACAAACATATATGTATAATCAATATTGGAATCTATGCATGAAATGCAAATAAGACTAATGGTGCAATATAGAAGATATGCACTAGCATCGAAACAAACTAATCATTCTGGACATAAAGGAGATATGAAAAAATAGATAAGTCAAGTTACACAGAGAGAGACATCTATAAAAGATATGTATTGTGTATCATTTCGTCAACTAAAGCAACATATAGAGGAGATATGCGTAAAAGGCATGTATACAATTTCGAAGCTAACACATAGAGGAGATATGCAGTAATAATCATGTATACATCCAAGGAGTTTGCATATAGAGAAGATATACTTCACTACATCCAGTTTAGAGGAGCTGCTAGGAGATGGTAGCAGACTTATGAGTTGGGCCGACCAGTAGGTTCACCTCCTCTTACTTGTGCTTATTACTCACAATTGTTTCTTGAGAGGTACATGCCACACACCAAGACAGATACATTGAGAGGCAAGTTTGAGCATTTTCAAAAGGATCGCATGACTATGACCAAGTAAGAGGCGAGATCTAGAGAGTTGTCTCGCCATGCTACTATCTTTATCCTCACCAAGGCTCAGATTGTGAGGAGATTTATTAAGGGTTTGAATTATAGCATTAGGATTTCTATGGCTCGAGAGTAAGAGATTGGGACTATGTTTCACCAGAGTGTAGAGATAGCTCGGAGGATCGACCGTATTCGTAGCCAGGGACGAGAGGCTATGGTGAGAGGTAAGAGACCATGTCGTTCTGGTGGTACCTTATTTGGAGGTAAAGGTCAGTTTGGTAGAGGCTATCATGGTAGGACCACTCATTCTACACAGCATGTAGCCCGTGGAGTAGTGGTTTGGTTGTTTTTTAGCACTCTAGTTCCATCATCCTTCAGTGTTGTCCCAGCGAGTTCGTACCAAGCTCCGTCTATTTAGGGTTTCTATAGTGGGAATTTCAGCCATCAGAGGCAGGTTTAGGTTCAGTAGCCTCAATAAGCTAGAGGTTTTTATGAATGAAGAGAGCTTGGCCATATGAGAAGGCATTTGCTCTGGCTTGTTAGGGTCACAACTCCATAGTTTTCTCAAGAAGTGGTTTTCACACCAATTGCTCCACTCTTTATCTAGTAAGCTAGAGGGGGAGGACATGCAGCTAGAGGTTTTCCTAGAGGAGGGGGCTAGGTTGATGCTGGTCAGGCTGATTGATATTCTTTTCTGGGTAGATCCAAGGTGGTCTCCTCAAATACAGTGATCACAGGTATGGTTTCGGTCTGTCATTGAGATGCTTATGTGTTGTTTGATCCGAGGTCTACTATTCATATGTGTCATCATATTTTTCTCCTTATTTGGATATGCCTCGTGGTTCTCTATATATTTATGTTAAGTATATATACCTATTGGTAATTCTATTGTAGTATATTGTATACATCGGTCTTATGTAGTTACTATTAGGGCTTATCCGACTAGAATTATATTTTGTTGCTTAGTATGGTCGACTTTGAGAGGATTTTGGATATGGATTGGATATCTATGTACCATGTTATTACTGTTTCTTACCCTAAACCATGATGTTGGCTATGCTGGGGTTACCAAAGTGAAAATAATGGGGTTCTCTTGGTCATACCCCTAGTATGGTGGTTTCATTTCTAAAAGCTCAACGAATGGTTGAGAAGTGGTGTTTGGTGAATCGAACCTTTGTTAGATAAGTTAATGCTGATATTTCTATTGTTGATTCAGTTCCAATAGTGAGGGAGTTTCCTGATGTGTTTCATGTAGACCTATCGGACATAGCACCCGATAGAGATATTGATCTTGGCATTGATTTGGTGTTGGGCACTCGACCCATATATACTCTATGTATCGCATGACTCCAGTTGAGTTGAAGGAGCAATCACATGAGTTGTTTGATAAAGGGTATTCATCAAGCCGAGTGTTTCTCCTTGGGGTGCACTAGTATTGTTTGGGAAGATGAAAGATGGTTCTATGAGGATGTGCATTGATTATAGGCAGTTGAATAAGGCCACTATCAAGAAGAAGTATCCATTGCCTCGCATTGATGATTTGTTTGATCAGCTTCAGGGTGTCAGGGTGTTCTCGAAGATTGATTTGAGACCAGATTATCAACAGTTGAAGATTAGGGCTTCCGACATTTCTAAGACAACTTTCAGGACTCGTTATGGGCATTATGACTTCTTGGTGATATCTTATCGTTTGACTAATGCCCCAACAACTTTTATACATTAGATGAACAATGTATTTCAGCCATATTTGGATTTCTTTGTTATTTTATTCATTGATGATATCTTTGTTAAGTCCCGTAGTAGGGATAAGCATAAGCAATATTTGAGGATTGTGCTCATATTCAGAGGGAGAAGAAGTTGTATGCTATGTTCTCCAAGTGTGAATTTTTGTTGGATTCGGTGGTATTTTTGGGCCTCAAGGTTTCTAATACTGGGATCAAGGTGGATCCAAGAAAGGTTGAGGCAGTTCAGAGTTGGCCTAGACCTTCTGCTGCTACAGAGATCAGGAGTTTTTTTTAGGTTTATCAAGCCATTATCATTGTCTTGTGGAAGGATTTTCACCTATTGCAGCTCCACTAACCAAGTTGACTCAGAAAGGCGTTCCATTCGGATAGTTTGACAAGTGTGAGTAGAGCTATTAAAAGGTCAAGAATTCCTTGACTACAACTCTAATTTTGGTATTTCTCTCAGGATCGGGGATGTATACTATCTATTGTGATGAGTCGCATGGTTGCCTCGGTTGTGTGTTGATGTAGGACAGTACGATGATTGCCTACGCATTGCACCCATTGAAGCCTCATGAGAAAAATTATCCGGTCCATAATTTGGAGTTGGTGGGTACTATGCATGCGCTCAAGATTTGGAGGAACTACTTGTACGGTGTGTCTTGTGAGGTTTACACTGGATTGGAGTCTTTAGCATTTATTCAATCAAAAGGACTTAAATTTGAGGCTGCGGAGGTGGTTGGAGTTGTTTATGGATTATGATACCACTATATTGTATCATGCGGGTAAAGCAAATATGGTAGCGGATACTTTGAATAGGAAGGCAGAGAGTATGAGAAGTTTGGAATTTATTCCAGCTATGGAGAGGCCTTTGACTATAGATGTTCAGGCGTTGGTCAATAGGTTAGCAGTGTTCTTCCTTGTGTGATTGCACAGTCGTCCTTGTTTGAGTGCATCAAGGTGTTGGGCTTACCTATCGGGTTGGGTTAGATGTCATCATGACTTGGTGGAATTTTGGGTCGTGACAATAAGAGATGCAGAGAGGAAGTGAGCTTTGTTATTTCTTCCGAGTGTTCAAGTATGTACAACATGATTTTCAGTACCTCTATTTATAAGGTTCCACTATGGAACACTAAAGGGTGTCATGGACATAACATTAAGTATTAAGATCATAGGGGGAGATCATGAGTGAACTTATGGAGGTGTGGTTGTTACAACTATAATGGTGAGAAGTAATGGAGAGTTAACTACATCATGAGAAAGAATAATGGGAGTAACTTCATTAGGAGTTATGGACATCTATCATAAGCCATATATTTCAAAACAAAAAAAATATGAAAACCGCTTCTTGTTTTGAGGAATTTCTAGAAATTGAAGTCTAGTTTGGACACTAAACTAAGTTTTTACTTTGGACACTACACTAAGTTTTTACCCATAAAAAAAAAAGTTTAGGAAGTTCCAATGAGATCCCAACTGTTTAGAGGAAACCATTAAAGCTAAACTCCATCCCCTCCTTTCTGACAACCAAAAAAACCATAGAACAAATTTTCATTGCATTGGTAAGCAAGGTACACAATATCATTCAAGTTTCTACATGTACATAAACTTAAACAGAGAAACGAGATACTTATTACAAAAAGAAATAAAATCTACATTCATATAACTTTCATATACATCCCATTTTTAATACAGGCTACATTAGAGTCGCTCTTGCGCGCAGATCTAACGAAGCACTTTTATTTCTCTTTTTGTCGGTTTTCATAGATCATACCTTTGCTTTTCTTTTCTTTTTTTAATTCTGAGTACCCAATAGAAATGAAAACGGAAAATAAGAACGAACATCTGCTGATATATGGAAGAAGAAAAAAAATCAGGTTTCTGTGGGAATCAAAAAGCCAGAAAGCTAAGTAGATAACTTTGAGCATTTTGAATGTATCCTTTACAGTTGAATGAATTACAAGGTATCTCTGTCCAAACCAATTTTGAAACTACTCCACTCCTTACCTTACGATTAACAATCTGGAAAGGCTCTGTTCCATTTATAATGCTTGCATATTAAGAAAAAAAAAATCTTCCTTTCTTGAAATAAGACTAGGTTTTGACTAACTTTTATTTTCTGTACAATCCATCTCCACCCTTTCAATGGGACTGCATTACAGAACATGCCACTGCCTGTGCCCAATGCCTCAACTTTGTCTTAACTTGTTGAGGATCATCTCCTGCGCATATTATCAATAAAAACTTTTAATTGTCATCTTATTAACTTTGTCCTATAAACTACAGTAATATAAACAAAATGGGAATAGTAAGTTACAAAATTCTAGAAAATTGAACAAAAATATGCTCATTCTTAACACAGATGTTGTTTCAAGTTTTCATTTTAGAGAGTCAAACAAAATGAAATTCTAATGCTAAAAAGTGCTAACGAGAAATAGTGCATCTTATATTTCGTGGTATTAATCTTATGAATCTTTTCCCACAGTTTCCCAGAACATTTAAAAATTATCTAAAATTGTGACGAGTCTCAACTTGAATATAGGTCCCGATAGTACTATCTAATTATCATTTACATCTTTTACATGATGATCTTATACAACTCAAATTGCGATTTTAAAAATTTTCAATCCCCTCCTAGAAATTATTTTCTCTAGAGTTGCACTTCCTTTGCGTGTGCATATACTTCCTCCGTATCATATTAAATGGGTTACTTTCCTTTTTAGTCTGTTCCAAAACAAATGATACATTTCTAAATTTGAAAATAATTCAACTTTAAACTCTTTCATTTTACTCATTTACCCTTAATGAGAAGCTTTTATAGCCACACAAATGTCATGGCCCCACAAACTTTTTACCCCTTAAGTTTTTAAGACCACAAGTTTCAAAAGTCTTCTTCTTTTCTCTTAAACTCCGTACCGAGTCAAACTACCTCATATAATATGAAACGGAGCTTTGCCCTTGGCTTTAACTTTAAGGATAAATTCATACCTGTACTTTTACTATTTCTTTTGATTATTAATAAGATTTTCGCTTAGAAATTTAAGGTTGGAACCTGAGTGTTTTCCTTAGAAGAAGAGCCATACCCGGGCTAAAAATTCGCCATGCATCGGCAGAGTCACTCCTAGGGCTTCCAAATGAGGAGGACCTACCTCCAAGAGATGTCGACGACGAGCTGGATCCAGCGGGAGAGGGTAATGAACCTTTGCTACCGGGGCTCGAGATTGGGCTTGTGGAATATTGGCGGTTCACCGCGAAATAAAGATCGAGCGCCGGCAACGTGCTACATAGCCTCTGACCTTCCTCTTCGTTGAACCCAAATCCTAGTTCGATGCAGCCTTTGAGTTCATTGAGGTCCTCGTCGGTCAAGTCGTCGGGGTCGTGAATCCCTTGTTTCCTCCTTTCCTGGAGGAGAAATTGACGACGCCGTTTCTCCCATGCAATATCACGTGGAGTCTCGCACATAGAAAGTTGCTTGGATAACCTCTTTCGGTTCCTCCAAAAAGGTGGTGCGCGCTCCAACAGTTGCAACTCGTCGCGCTCCGATTCACTAGAAGATGGCGACGATGACACGTGTTTCTCAGGGTTCTTATTAATGACCTCCCCCATATTGGCAACTATCACAACAATAACAGAATTTCCAATAAAAATAGTGGAGTTGTAGTTGATAGGCAGGCCGTGGCGAGAACTAATTAATCGCCGCCTCGGCCAGCCGTTAGAAAGAGTTAGAATGAAGGGATCAGGGCGTGGATGAGTGGCTGGGTGGTCGGCCTTTCTCTCGATTGGGAATAATAAGGGGAATGAAATGGAAGTTTCTTTTTGCGTTATTGGCTTGTAAAGAATGGCATGCACCAGCCCGACCAACTCGTGCAGCTAAGGTTTTGGAAGGCTTTAATGAGAGAAATGTCAAGGGACAGCCATTCTTTGCGGCCCTTCCCTCTCTCCAACTCTCCATTCATTTCTAACAGTAAACTTACTAATTTGGTTTCTAGCATGTATATATGGCTCATTACCTGAAAGAACCTTGCGTTTATTGCAGGTACAATGGCTTTGTGTTAGCTAGTATTTTGTTTCCTTGGGAATATGCTTGTAATTTATTAATTAAATTTCTTAATAATGGTGCCTTCACTTTTTTAGTCCCTCCGTCACGTCTCAATTTATGTGGCATTGTTTCACTTGACAACGGAGTTTAAGAAAGACTCTTAAAACTTTTCGTCTAAATCGAATCATAAATATTTATTTTACTATAAATCAATTCGTTAAGGGTAGAGTAGAAATTTTAAAGATAAATTATTTCTAAATAAAGAAAAATGACATTCTTGTTGTGCTGATTAAAAAGGAAAAGGTGCTACGTAAATTAAGACGGAAGGAGTATTTTCTTTCCAGAATGTCCTTTTGCTTAAGGAAAATTAATAGGTTACGTAATGATTTTTGGCTAAAAACGCATATATTTAATCATTGTTGTCTCACATTTTAGTACTTTTAATTATCTTTTGAGTATTAATTATATTGTTCTATGGTTAATAATATATTTTAATTGTATAGAAATAAAAGGGTGTGAAGATGAAAAGATTTGAAACAAAATTAAATAAAATATGGAAGAAAAAAGAAAGGAAGAAGGAGAGGAGACAAGAAAGGAGGACATCGTCATTATCATAATGATTAATATATACTAAAAAAACAACAAACACCAAGGAGGGAATTGATGTTAAGGGAGGATTTGAAGGTTGGAAGCTTACTGTCTCCAGTGCCAGGGTCTGGACGTCGGGGCGGAGACTTTTCCTATTTAGTCCGGACAAAGTTATTTCGGCCCAAGATCTCCTCCCTCCCCCCTCCCTCCCTCCTTTCCCCTAACTCGTATAAAGGAAGTTCTAAATTTATTTTGGAGGGGATCTAACATACTTTGAAGGAGAATTTATGTGGAGGAATACACAACAAGCTTGGAAGAGGCTTCTAACTAGTTTTTCCTTCTTTTCTCTTCCTTTAATTTCATAGTTCATTAATTCTAGAGTTTTGGATGATGCATGAACATTGTAGTTTGAAGTGTTCTTATTATTTTATCATATTAATTTATTTATTCAATCTTGCGCTTAATTTGATTGCTTGATCACCAATTGAATACTATCTACGAATCTAGGATTGAACTCGGGAGAGGGAATTCTATATTGCATATAAGATTGAGTAGAGCAAGATCTTGCACTCGAGTATTGGGAACGGATTTGCGGTTAGGATAGGAACATACCTAATCGCCTTGCTTGGTTATTATACGGGAATTATAAATGCGTTTTCGTTAATCCTAATTCCATAGGAATATAGGCATTAGGTTAGCTTGAATAGGTGAGTAGTACTTCGGGAGAAGACTACAAGCAATATTAACCCCGTCAATCAATAAACTAGAAAAATTAATTAGACAATTTAGGTAAAAAAAAACTCAACGGGATTGTTAGCTAACCCATAACTCTAGAATATTCTCTCCCATTGAATTCGTCTTTAAGCTTGTCGTTATTTTCTTTAATCAATTAATTTGTTACTCTAGATTAATTTTAGTTAAATATTCATACGTTAGGATTCGCTTGAATAGATTAATTGGTTTAATTTAGTTGATAGTTAATCACAAGTCCATGTGGGTATGATATCTGGACTTACAATCCTATATTACTTGTCGACCACGTATACTTGCGTGTGCGTGCGTTTGGGAGCAACACCTAAGTAGCTAGAAAATAGAACTTAAAAAGGAAAAAAAGGAAGGAACGCAAACATTTTAGGAAAAATTACGTAGACGCCGCAAATATATGTATTGTAATTACTATTCATAGTTATACTTTCAAAAAGTTACCATCCGTAGCTATATTTTAATTTTATAGAAAACCCACCTGAATATACTAAAACAAGAGATCAATTGTTTTGAGCTGAAACAAGAGAGCAACAAGCTCTCGGAGCTCAGTTGGTTAGACCATGCTTAGTAAAGGTCTTGACTTCGACTCTCAATGAGAGCATTTCATTTTTGTGTATTTCGTCTTGATTGTATTTGTTGCGTGAACGAATACAGTTGATACAGATTGTGTCATTTGTATACACCCCTGTATTTCACCTTGATTCTATTTGTTGCGCAAACAAATACAGTTGATACATATTATATTCGTTGTGCGAATGAATACAGTTGTGCGAATGAATACAGTTGACACAAGTTGTATTCGTTGCGCGTCTGAGTACAAGTGATACCAACTAATAACAACTAAATAGTAACTACGAACGATAATTAGGCAGACTATAGTTACATATAGATTGGCCAAGAAGACTATCATACTATTGTTAGGAGTGCTTGGGATATTCAATGTGAAGGTAATGATATGTGGAAGGTCCAACAGAAACTCAAAGTTGTGACCAAAGCCCTAAGCCGCTGGACAAAAAACTTCATTAGAAATATTTTTGACACTGCAAAGTAGATGGAGGAGAAGATCATTGAAGAAACAAGAGTTAGAGAATGATGAAGCTAACATGATAGAGCTAAACAGAATTAATGATGAATACATCCTTCCTGTGAAGAAAATAAACTCTTTCTGGAAGCCAAAAACCAACTTGAAATGGAACATAGAAGGTTATAATAACACTAGCTATTTTCTTAAGATGATAAGAGGAAGAAGAAAGATATTATCTCTTCATAGAATTAAAGGGGAAGATGATCAAAAGATAGAAGGGACAAAAGCTATACCAGAGGCCGCAATAAATTATTATGAGAATATTTTCTCACATAAGTATCACAGAACTGATCCACAATTCCTGGATAGTGTTCCATCAATTATACCAAAAGAAGATAATAATGATTTGATGGTTATCCCTATCAAACAGGAAGTAGAACATGCAGTATTTGGAATTGATCCAGATAGTGCGGGTGGACTAGATGGTTTTAAAGGGAAGCTCTTCCAACACTCATGGGACATAATTGAAGATGGCATATGTAGTATGGTTTTGGATATTATAAATGGCAGGGGAGTAAATACGTTCATCACGTATACCTATTTAGTTTTGATTTAAAAGTTGACAATCCTCAAAGCCTCTCAAAATTAAGGCCTATTAGTCTTAGTGTCACAGTCTAAAACTCTCACCGGAGCCGTGGCGGCGTCTAGCACCACTTGCTAGACAAGTCATCAATCAGTAAGCAGAAACAAACTTAAATAATAACATTAAATGGTCTCAACGGTGGAAACAATGATGATTAATTGAGGTAAATAGTCACAATAAAAATAAACCATCCCATGATCTGGTGTCACTGAGTGCATGAGCTCCAAAGAATGAGTAAATACAAGGTTTGAATCAAGTACAATATCGTCTAGAAGACTAAACAATGTTAACATAAAATAAGGAAGGGACTTCAAGGCCTGCGAATGGAACAATAGTACTACCTCGAGAATTCTCACTAATCCAGGCCCAACTTACGGGCAACAACCACGATCGGTAACACTTGTATCTGCACACGAAGTGCAAAGTGTAATATGATTACAACCGACCACATGTACTCAATAAGTAACAATCCTAACCTCGGGCTGAAAGTAGTGACAAGCTAGGCAAGGTGCGATGCTCACTTTTCACAACCAATAATAACAATAACAGTAGAATAATAGTACATAAAAGAGAACAACTCAAATGATAACAAGCTCAACTTAACACAATAAGAAGAAAAATAGGCATGCATTTTAGATATAACAAGCATGGCACCATCTTCCATAGAATTCACTTAAGCAGGTATTTAATAGGATAAAATTGTGATATTGAAATCGAATCCTCAAGTACAGTTACCAAGTACCCCCTAGCATGAGAGTTAATACAACTCTACGTCTGCATGTCAGTCATACATGCCAAATCAACAATTTTTGTACAGTTAAATCATCAAGTATAAACAGCTCTTAACACATTCATATTGCCTAGCTCAATGCCCCTGAAATATTCTCTAAGTATACTCACGTTGCTTGGCTCAAATCCCAAGGACCCTCATACACACATATACACACACTCAGCACTATATGGGTGCCTGACATAAGTCCTTCAATCAAGCACATATATGACCCTGTGTCTGTGCTCCCAGTAAATACCTGGCTCTGGAGAGGCGGGTCCTTGCCCAAGCGTTTATCTGATCTAAGTCAACAATCAATATTATATATACCAACTTAGGGCCTGGTGCACATTTCGCCCGCTAAACAGTACTGCTTAGCCCAATGTGGGGCCTGAGGTATGCGTCACCTCAATATTAATAACAACATAGCTCTGTTGCGCAAGATTAGTTATCAATCTGCTCAAGTCTCTATATGCCAACATCTCACAGAAACATAATCCAACTTACCACGCGGAATATAATAATTTACCACAAATTCAGCTCAAACTCATGTCACGTACAATGACATTAATAACATGTGAGATAACATATCAAAAAGTATACATAAACAGAGATGCAACACGCGGATATAATTACCATGATTGAACAATTTAATGAGTTGGAAACTAGACTCATAGATCTTCAATTTAGTAGATGTATCATCCCATAATTCTGATTACATTGAGAAAAAAGCTCAGTAACATTAGACCTAAATTTTAAGTAAAATTATGAATGTAACTTGCGACAACTTTTGTCGACTTTTGTTTCCAACTCGTTTGACTTCAAAACATAATACACGACTATAATACGACTAATATACCTCATAATATCACCTATTTATCATGTTAATCACCATAGTATCACCGCAAAAGTACGAGTTATAACATTCCCAACTTGCCATTTCGACGAAACTTATTTTCTTCGATTTGTTTAGCTTCTAAACCTTCCAACCCTCTTGGTACTTGGAGTTCATGATCTTAAATATTTTCAACCTATAAGGT